TGACTCAAACAATCATTCCCAGTCCTCTTGTACATTGGATTCTGCCCATCAGACTTCGTGGCCAGGAGTACAATGATGTAGCATATATTGGAGTAAGTAAATCTAGCTTTCGTTGTCACGCTGTCGTGCTGTATGTTAGCTGTGTTGCTTTTGTTCATTGTTGTTATCAGTTCTTTTATTACTTGTGGAGGAACTGAACTGTTATCACTGAAATTCTGCAAGTATTGAAAAGAATCATAAGATGACAATGACACAGAGCCTATCAGGAATTCTAAACACCTAATATACTCAAATTGTTACACACATTTATGATACCCAATGTACTCGCAGTATTGGTGAATTTTCATACAAATGCAAACGTTTGAGGCCTAGCAGGTATATGTAGTACCTTATATACTTTCTATCTTGAGCATGTACGAAGAGATTGATAAGTCACTACGAATGCCGGCACCTGTTTCATTTATATCATGATACCCATCTCATTCGAATGACCGCTAACAAACTCAGGACACATTTGTCGAGATTCGACGATTGGGGGTTGGTCCGCATCTATTTGAAGTCATCCGAAAGGACGACTTCGGTTCCAGAATTCGCAATGCGACTGTCCTGGGATCGCTCGAAGACTACGAAAAGGAGCAAGTGCGTGTCAAGGAGGAATGCGAAGACGTTGACATGATCGACTTTTCGGCGTCGTCAGATAACCCGTCATCTTCCAAGACGCTTTTGCCACCTCAAATTCTAGTCTTACAACTCGAAGCGGACACGTCCAGCGATTCAGTTTTTTTAATGCTACACCAATCCGGCGACGGATCGTGGAAGTTTATGTCCAGTAGGCGACGGTTATCCAAAGCGATGGATAAGCTCCAGCCTGGAACGCATTTATCTGTTGACCCCAGCTCAAGATATATGGTTATAGGTTGTTCTGAACAATGTTTCACAGTCCAGGCCTTGGAGTCAAGAACGGAGCTGAATCGCCAATATATCAATGGCGAGGAACTTCAGTATATCGAGTCTGAGAAGATTATTCTCTGTAAAGGAGCAATTTTGAACTTGGAATTCCTTCATCCTCCAGCTGGGTCAGACGATGATATTATCCTGCTACTGATAGTAACCATGAATGGCAAGATAAGGATGCTCATATATTCATGGAGAGTTGGGGAACCTCTGTCAGCCATTAAATCACGAAATTCTAGAGGCAAAAAAGGCTATGCCTTGAGGGAGATCCCCCTATTGTTCATACCTTTACGCTTCCAAGCCGCATTTGTCCTAGTGAACAAGCATTCCATGGTGGCTTACAAAGGTATTTTAGAGGGTGCACCTGAATGCATACCAATTGGGTGCGGTCCAAGAATGCCCCTCGACCTCTATCAAGGCTCAGATGTGCCCCTATGGACAGCCTGGGCAAAACCGACTCGGTTGCCCCACTATACAGCGGAATATGATGATGTATATCTTGCTCGAGAGGATGGATGGATCTGTCTATTGCAGGTGAATCACGATAGAGAAGATCTTGATCTTTCTATAACCGATGTTGGCGAGATGCAATGCAATATCGGGAAAGCTTTTGCTTGTGCAGACTATTCACTCGATCCGGATATTCACCGCCATGGTGATGTGCTTGTTTCTGCGGGTGACGCTAGTATCGGGGGGACTTATTTGGTGAGTTTCAACCTATGGTATCTTATTGCAACGGCGGGTTGAAAGGATATGCTGGGAACTTCACTGACTATTTTTCTTCATAGATTACGGCTCGAGCACAACCTAATGTTAAAAAAGACACACAAAACTGGTCGCCAGCTATGGATCTTGTAGTAATTAGGAAAAATTCGAAATCTAACTTAGACATTAATACTAGAACCCAGAGCTTCGTTCCTTCGCCAGATTCGATATTTGTTTGCAGCGGAAAAGGAGCACTATCATCCATAACAGAATTGAGGTCTGGTATTGAAGCTATTCTTGGCCTGGATCTTGAATTCCATTCTGCGGTTACGAAAGCATGGATTTTGCCCTCAGAAGTATACTCGGGCTCAGCTGGCGGTGACGACTGGTTGTTACTTTCGCTCGAGGATCGATCAGCTATTTTACAAATTTCTCTAGACCGGACGAATGCAGAAGAACTTGACCCAAGTCATATCCCATTAGACCTGATGAGTCGGACTATTGTGACCAGCGTCTCTGGAAATCGTGCCATACAGGTAACAGAACGATCCATTGTTGTTCTCGACTCGGGCAATTGGTATGTCTTCCAGTCTCTCATATCATGAACTATGCTCTGAAAAATTTTGTGGGTGTGATCAAGCCGTCTAACCTTTTCCTCAGTACTACACTTGACAGCTTGAATATGATGGGCTATCCTCAAGCCTTACCAATTTCAACTTCATTCATTAACAATGCCATCATCTGCAATGGAAAGGTATTGTTTACCACACATCATGAGGAACAGCGCCTGCTTAGCATACTCGATACCGCCATTGATAATAGTACCTCGCCACCTACCATATTGTATACCCCCAAGATAATTATTAAGTGGACCCCCGAAGTTGGAGAAGTAACGTGCCTCGCGATGTATCTGCACCCACAAGATCCCCAAGGGCTTATTGTTACCGGAGAGAGAAAGGATGGCGAAATTTTCTTGATGTTCATTGGGCGGGGAAATTTTCACTTACGCGTACCTACCATCTACGAAGGGTGTAGCTATGACCTTCGAGCACTAGCCAGTATTCTTGTTATACCCTCGTCAACTCCCGACAACTTTACGTTACTGTGTGGAACACTCACCGGTTTAGTCATATCTTTGGACATTGCTCAAACCGGACAGAAGTTCGATATCCGCAGGTCTTCTTGTATTAGATTCGGAGGTAGTGTGGCAACATTGATTCAAGCCGAGCAATCGAACTGCTTGTTTGTGAATTGCGATGAGAAGATTTTTAAGATAGATCAAAGTACTCTAAGTACTGATGGAAAATCTCCAAGGAAGCAGACATCGAGAAAGGCTATCAATGCGGATCAAATTTGGCTGGTAGATGCACTGAATACTACCCTACAACAACCGAATATTAACTCCATATTACCGCTCGAATCTGAATCACTAGCTGATACTGACCTTCTTCTGATATCATACAATCGGCTTCTGCTTGCTAGAATGGGGACAAAGCAAAAAACGGTACCTCGCCGCATCCCAATCAGAGGAACACCATATCGAATCATTCATTCGGAGATTCGCAATGCATTTGTCGTTGGTGCCTCTATAGACGGTCGAAGTACACTTTACTTTGTAGACCCCGAAACTGGCGAAGATTTATCTGACCCAAGGGTCAAGAAGAATGGGCCACAAACAAATTTCGTAGCAGGATTGGGCCGTTTTGATGAGAAAATCCTTTGCATTTATGAGTGGCTGTACTGTCATGGAATTTCCATTTGGAATTTTATTGTCGTATGTACCAGTGGAGGCAGAGTTGTGATTATCTCAACCAACAGTGATGATACTACGGTGGCATATTCTGGTCGACCCAAGATATCATTTTGGCAAACGACTCAGTTTAAAAATTTCACTTCTGTGTATTCAGTCGTTGGAGATTCTGAAGGCTTGTACTACTGTGCACAAAGCGGCAACGAGGTCAAACTATACTATAGCACGCTAAACAGGGCGGAAAGAAAGTTTAATGAAAACGTGGCAGAAGCCAAACTACTTTCACCGGCCATTTCACTGTCTTACGATTCTGGAAAGATATACGCTCTCACCAGGCATCATTCTCTACAAATTCTAGAGGTCATCAAAACTGATGGAGCTGTTCATCTTCGTCATACGCATACTGATCAACTTCAACACGAATCTCTCCACCATATGATTGGCAGACCAAATCCTCTTGCAGGATCCGATAGCAATCAAATTGAGTTTGTCTCGGACAGGTCAAAATCTGTCATTGGTCTGTGGGCTAGTTCGGGCTTGAAAGTTGATACACTCGATACTGTATTTGAAGCACAACTACCGGCTTCAGTAATCCGGTTTCGATCTGCGAATTGTCGTCCTGTATGGGATTCAAGTTGGAAAGTTCACAAAGCCGGGGATTCTGTCGTGGATTCTACTCGTCTTCATGGTCTTGGTGCGATCTTCAATGATGAAATGAATTCAGAGACCTTGGGATTAGGAATTGATGGATCATTGTACCATTTCACCACCCTTAATGTCCGAGCGTGGCAATTTCTCAGTTATGTTGCCAATCTTGCAAGGAGTTCTGGTCTTGTTGGAGGACGACCATGGGATGGATCAGCAGACTTGGAACCAAAACAGGGTCGAACAAGTATGCAAGTTGACGGTGATATTCTGAAGAGGGTTTTAGAAAATGACAAACTCGAAGCAATGTTTGGAATTGGGCATCGTCAAACTGATGAGAACAAGAGACAGTTTAAGCGGTTTTGCATGCTACTCGAGAATATGCATGAGGGAAAGTTGGAAACTAGTCATGACCCTAATGTCTATATAGAGCAGGCTTATGACGATTTAGGAGCATTTTTGAGACCAGTCATTTAATAGTTTCAAACGGCTCAATGGTATTTTAGATAGTATGAACCATAAAAACTATTTATTTCAATAGTCCATATAATTTGACTCAAAATAAGAGACCACATCCGGTGTAATCTTTCCAGAGTTTTGTAATGAAGTATGAAGCAGGCGAGACCTGTCGGCATGATTGATTATAGATTGAGATGAAAAAAGATTCAGCCGCCCAAGATGAGATGAATTATTATACAAAAATCACGATCCAAATAATCCATTTACCAAGACTACAATACCAAGAACTCGACAATGTCATCCTGAAGAGTACAAAGAGAAAGATTCGGAAGAGACCCAGAGATATGAGATGAAGTGAAAGAATTCCAAGGAGGGGGGGTGAACTCGTTTAGATCCCTGCTTAGTGTGAATTTGAACGCAAATCAGTCAAACCACCGAACGCACATTCAAGATTAAAATGCCCCGCGCATACCTCAAAATCTTCAATCCCACTCGAAATAACATTCATACATTCACGATATAGTGAATCTCGAAAGTTATTCAATTATCATCTTTTTTGGCACTCTTTCACTAGATTGTCAAATTAACATTCATTGAACAGCTGTCGCTCATCTTTTTAAGGCTAGCTGATTTGTTTGGGATCGTCTCGAATTAAATCCTCGATCTAATTAACCTCGACTTTTGATTTCGCCACGTAATTCTCACTATAATTAGGCAACCTTCTCCAACTCTTCGTTCTTGAAATTGTCGACAAAATCAAACACCAAGATGGCACCAAAGAAGAAGAACAATAAGAAGCAGAACGATGACTGGGAGGCGGAGCTAGGAGAGACCGTTGAACCTGTCAAGGCAACGGAACCCGATGCCGACGCTGCGGAGGCTGATCCTGAGGAGGAATTTCCTGCAGGAGGTCTCATGGCTATGATGCGCAAGAAGCAAAAGAAAGGCAAAAAGGGAAAGCAGATGGAAGATTTCGTTGAGGGAGAGGACCCACCAGCCGCCGGTGAACAACCTCAAGATGATTTCGCCGACAAAGCTCCCGTTGAAGCTTCAATAGATGATGAATTCGCCTTGCCAGAGAAGAAAGGAAAAGGAAAGAATGCGCAAGCCAAGCCTGCAAAGAATGACGATGCAGGAGATGATGAAGTGGGTGCGGATGGAAAAATGCTCACAAAAGCGCAAAAAGAAAAGTTGAAGAAGGAGAGAGAAAAGCAGAGGAAAAAGGAACAAGTATGTGAATTTCTTGGTTCAAGGTTCTTTTGAGAGTTTTGCTAATTGTAAAATTTGTAGGCGGCTTTGAAAAAGAAGACCACTCCAGGTGGAAAGGCTGCCGAGCCTGAGAAGCCAGTCGAGGCAGAGAAACCCGTCGAGGCCGCACCGACTCCCGCTCCAGGTGGGAAAGGCAAAAAGATTCCAGCTGCTCTTGCAAAGCTACAAAAACAACAAGAGGAACTGAGAAAGCGGGAAGCTGAAAGAGCCGCTGCCATTGCAGCGGAGAAGGCTCGAATCGAAGAAGAGGAACGCCGAGAAGCTGAAGAGGAGAAGAAGCGTGAAGAGGCCAGAGCCTTGCGAAAACAAAAGGAGAAGGAGAAGATTGAACAACAAAAGAGAGAGGGTACCTATCTCACTAAGGCTCAACGAGAAGAGAAATTGCGAAATGAAATGAAACTAAAGCAAATGATCGATGCCGGTGTAAAGGTTGGAGGTGGAGAGGGCGGAGAAAAGAAAAAGGTTGTTTATGGCAACAAAAAGAAGGGCGTAAAGAAGAATCCCGCCGAGATTAAGGCAGATGAAGAGAGAGCCCTTGCCGAGGCCGCTGAACGCGCGAAGAAGGAAGCCGAGAGAATCGCCGCTGAGGCCGCAGCTAAAGCAGAGAAAGAAGCTGCCGAACAAGCCGCCAAGCAAACTAAAGAGGACAGCGAGCTAGAAGATTGGGAGGTAGCTGCTGACGAAGAAGATGAGGATGTCAAAGATAGCTGGGATGCGGATTCTGAGGAAGAAGGCGAGAAGAAGGCTGCCTCTTCCTTACCAGTTAGGAAGAAGGAGCAAGAAGATTCTGATTCTGAATCTGATTCAGAAGACGAAGATTCATCCGATGACGAAGAAGCCACAGCGAGAGAATTGGCCGAACTCAAAAGAAAGAATGAAGCCGCGGAAAGAAAACGAAAGGCACACGAAGCAGCATTGGCGGCTAGATCAAAGGATAACTTGCGATCCCCCATTTGCTGTATTCTTGGACACGTCGATACTGGAAAGACCAAGCTTTTGGACAAGATTCGACAAACTAACGTGCAGGAAGGAGAAGCTGGAGGTATCACGCAACAAATTGGTGCGACTTACTTCCCAGTTGAGGCTATCAGGAAGAAGATTGCAGTAGTGAACAGAGATGAGAGCTTCGATCTCAAGGTTCCTGGTCTCTTGGTGATCGATACACCTGGTCACGAGTCTTTCTCTAATTTACGTTCCCGTGGTTCATCACTTTGTAACATTGCCATTCTTGTTGTCGATATTATGCACGGTCTCGAGCCTCAGACTTTGGAATCGATGAAACTTCTTCGGGATAGAAAGACACCTTTCATTGTTGCTCTTAACAAAATTGATCGTCTATATGGCTGGAAGAAGGTTGATAACAACGGATTCCAAGAGAGTTTGGCACTTCAAAACAAGGGTGTACAAAACGAATTCGCAAAGCGTCTCGCAGATACAAAGGTTGCTTTTGCCGAACAAGGATTTAACGCTGAAGTTTTCTACGAGAACAAATCTATGGCCAAGAATGTTTCCTTGGTTCCTACGTCAGCTCACACTGGTGAGGGTATTCCAGATATGCTCAAGTTAATTCTCCAACTCACCCAAGAGCGTATGGTTGGTGCTTTGATGTACCTTTCGGAAGTTCAATGTACTGTCCTTGAGGTCAAGGCTATCGAAGGTTTCGGTATGACTATCGATGTCATTCTATCCAACGGTATCCTCCGAGAGGGTGATCGTATTGTCGTATGCGGTGTAGATGGAGCTATTACAACAAATATCCGAGCTCTACTAACACCAGCTGAGATGAAGGAACTTCGTCTTAAATCTCAATATGTCCACAACAAGGAGGTCAAGGCCGCTCTCGGTGTCAAGATCTCTGCACCTGGTCTCGAAGGCGCTATTGCAGGTTCGAGATTGATGGTTGTTGGTCCTGACGATGACGAGTCGGATGTCGAGGCTGAGGTTGAGTCCGATCTTGGTGCACTCTTTAGTCGAGTTGAGAAATCTGGACGTGGTGTCACCGTTCAAGCATCTACTCTTGGATCTTTGGAAGCTCTTCTAGATTTCTTGAAGGTATCCAAGATTCCTGTTGCCAACGTCGGTATTGGTCCAGTTTTCAGGAGAGATGTAATGAATTGTGGTACTATGCTTGAGAAGCAAAAGGAATACGCGGTCATGTTATGTTTCGATGTTAAGATTGATAAGGAGGCACAACAATACGCCGATGATCAAGGCATCAAGATCTTTACTGCAGATATTATCTATCATCTTTTCGATTCCTTCACCAAGCATATGCAGATTATTGCTGAGGCAAAGAAGGAAGCCTCTAAGCTTTTGGCCGTCTTCCCTTGCGTTCTTAAACCAGTAGCTGTCTTCAACAAAACCGGCCCTATTGTTATCGGTGTCGATGTTGTTGAAGGAAATCTCAGGTTGCACACCCCTATAGCCGCTGTTAAACATAACTCAGTCACTGGTAGCAAGGAGATCGTGGGTATTGGAAGAGTCACATCCATTGAACGTGATCACAAGCAACTTGAAAAGTGCAAGAGGGGAGAACCTTCCGTTGCTATCAAAATCGAAATGGGCAGTTCACAACCGACATATGGTAGACACTTGGAGGAATCTGATACATTGTACTCATTGATTAGCAGAAAGAGTATCGATACCCTGAAGGAGTTCTACAGAGATGAAGTCAAGAAAGATGAGTGGGCGCTGATGGTGAAGTTGAAGCCACTTTTCGATATCTCTTGAGTGGATTAATGGTAGATGGTGAAAAGAATATTTGTGTGTATTATACATGAGCCATTTAAACTTTGCCCCTCAATGTACATGCTTTACTTAAAAGTCAAATGATTATACCCCTGTTTTGTTCATTTTGCAATAGTGATACATCTACGAGATACCATACATGTTTCTTGGAATCGAGCAGCAATGAGGTCGCCAAAAAGGAATAGAATGAGGGGACTAATAGTTCAATTTGTAATGAGTGGCCGTTATGAACTTTCAGATTTCATATACCTATCCTTCTTGACTTCCTCCGGTATTCTAATGTAGATTCGATATTTACCTAGGTATTTGAAAGTGCGTTGGTAGGTAGTTTCAGATGTTGATATTTTTTTGTTAATAGTGCAGAGGAGGAGACGAGATATAGTATGGTGTGGATGTATATGCTGCTCAATTCCGGACATTGGATACAACCTTCTTGATAGGTATGTAATACCTAGAACTTTGATTATTTGTAGTTGAGAGCATCTGAACTTTTGTGTGCTCTAGAGCATGGGGAGCTCTCGTACCCACATTTAAAACGCTAGCAAGGTATAAATATATTAAGCCAGTCTGAGAACCCAGAGTCTTACCGCCTTATGGCAGAATTTAATTTTTGGTCAAGTTTTTAGACTGAGCTCTTCAAATTTTACAATTTCTGCAACTATCAAGCTATAATTCGAAATGGGTAGCAAAAGGAAGCGTTCAGCTCAAGATGCTGCAGTTGCAGCTCCTGCTGCCAAAAAGCAACAAAAAACCTCCAAGCCAACGACCAAGAAGCCCGTGGAAACTCCCGCTCCTCTCGATACATCACCATTTGTCAACAACCCAAGAGGGGACGATTTGAAGCGTGAGGTCAATCTTTACGATATGCTGAGTAGTGAGGATGATTCGCAACGACTTGATGCCGCCAATGCAATTGTGTCCGGATTGTTAGGTGGAGATGGAGTAGAAGAATCAACATTACAAAAGCATCTCGAGAGAAGATTGTTTCGGGGACTCGCAAGTGGCAGAAAGGGTGCGCGATTGGGCTTCAGCATTGTACTTTCGGAGCTTTTGGCCCAACTTTTTGGTTCGGCGAATTTGAGTGCGACAAAATATCCTGGATTGACCTTCGATAACGTCTTCGAATTTTTGATCCTCAAAACGAAACCCGAGGGCGATCTTAGCGGACAGGAACAGAAAGATCATGCTCTTGGATTGTTGTTTGGACTGCAATGCTTTGTCAGGTCTAAGATACTCTTTTCGATCGATGGAAAATGGGAATTGATTCTGGACAAGCTATTGGATTTATCCAGCAAAAAGTCCTGGACTCGGGAGGAATGCGGTTGGGTAATTATGGAAGCTTTGGAGCAGATGAACCAAGACCAGGCGGAATCTACCTTGAAGAAATTGTGCGATGTTGGATTAGGACTCTCACCAGAAGGTGTTGGTATATGGCTTAGAGCAAGGGACAAGTTTCCAAAAATGAAGTTTCCAAGCAACCCTTGGGGACAGAGTGGTAACCCATTGGAGCACCTCAACTCCCTTGCAAAAGCCCTCAAGGAGAGTTCTTCCAGCGAGGACACTTCGAGCAAAGGACAACAAGCCAAGCAAACTGGAACATGGAATGCAAAGTTACATTTTGTTTGGGACATTGTCTTGAGTCAATATGTTAAAGCAGCTAATAGCAAGGCCAAGAACATTATGTCTGAATTCGACAAATTTTGGAAGGTTACTGTTGATGGTACGTTATTTACATTCTATCTTTTGACCCATTATTGACTATTCCTTAGAAAATCTGTTTTCTGCATCTGCATCAAGAGAGCGTAAATTTTGGGGCTTCTTGGTCTTTCAACGAATGATTCAAAGCCATATTTCGTGTACAACACTCATCACAAGTATTTTCAGTCACAACCTCGTGCGCTGCCTTATCAATCACGTTCAGGAAAAAGATCGCTTCCTAAACCGGGCCGCCGACAAGTCGCTAAAGGTTCTTACACACGCGGTGGAAGAGAATCCTGAAGCATTGGTTGTTGTCCTTCAAGGATTGATTGACGGCAACGGTGCATACAGTTTTGACCGAGTCACAAAGACAAAAACAATAGAAAAATTGCTGAGTATGGTTGATGACACAAATGGTGAAGCCGTTCTCGATGTTCTCACCTCTCCTGTTATGGTCATACCAAGCTCGGAAACCAATGACGCCGAAAAACGTCGACAAATGTTTGGAGACTATGTTTTAACCGCAATTCGACATGTTGATATCACAGAAGCATCACAAAACTCAAGTTGGATCAAATCCGCTGCGTTACCTCAGCTTGCCTCATTAGCATATTCGAATAATTCAGAAGCCAAACCTCCCATTTCTGAAGGAACCCGAACACTGATCAGAAACCGATTGACATCGGCATTTACTCATCTATTATCCAATATGGATGGCTATCATTACCCCTGTGATTTAGTTATTTCCTGCACACCTGATGCAGTCGCCATGGACGGGCTTATCACTGGTGCTAAAGATGCTGCATTCAGTACATTACAGAAACTCATCAAGAAAGCAAAAAAAGGAGGAAAGGATGAGGCAACTTTCCAAACCCTGTCATTATTATATGCTTTAGTAATCTTTCAGTTGTACAACGGAGATGTTGAAGCTGTGTCCATTCTGGATGAATTGAAGTTATGTTACGACAACTTGATCAAACACAAATCAACAGAGGATTCGGAAGTTGAGCCTTTCGAGGTTCTCGTGGAGCTCTTACTGTCTTTCCTTTCTAGACCATCCGCTCTTCTCCGAAAAGTCACTCAACATGTCTTTACTGCTTTCATGAGTGAGATGACTGAAGGTGGATTAAAACTCATGACAGACGTGCTAGAAACTAGCGAAAACATGAGAGGACAGCAGGAAATGTTTGATGAGAACCCAGATGATGAAGATGCGATGGACGTTGATGAAGAAGATGATGAAATGGACTCGGATGTCGAAGTTGTTGACATGAACGGCGAGGAGGGTCACTTAAATGCACATCTTGCAGAGGAAGAGGAAGAGAGCGACGAGGAAGAGAATGAAGAAGAATCAGAAGACGATGAAGATGAGGGAGACGACGAGGCTAACAAAGAGCTCAACGACGCTCTAGCAAAGATTCTCGGCACCTCAGCATTAGACCAAAATGACGAAGACGAGGATGGCGATAGCGACTCCGATATGACTGATTCAGGGATGGATGCTCTCACACCAAAACTGGAGGAGGTTCTCGGAAGAATGCAAAAGAAGGGGCCTAGTAAGAAACAAGAACAAAAGGACGCCAAGGAAAATATGGTCAACTTCAAAAGCAGAGTTTTGGATCTTCTTGATATATATGCCAAGAAGCAAGCGTCTGATCCCTTGGCCGCTGAAATTCTATTACCTTTGTTACGACTGATCCGTATTACCAAAGCCAAACACTTGAGTGACAAGGCCTTCTCAATAATTCAAGCTTTCGCAAAGTCCAAATCGAAGGCATCGTCTTCGGAAACCGAGGTAGAGGTTAATGTCAAGGCACAAATCGCCTTGATCAAGGGTATCCACGAAGAAGTACTCAAGGACCAGTCTAAGGTCTTCGCCAAAGCTGCCAGTACAGCTAGTTTGTCTTTGGCCTCTGGTATATATAGAGCGGATAAGAGTCAATTCGAGAAGATTGGAAAGGTTTACCTGCACACAATGACAAAGTGCGATGTCGAAGGTGTGAAGATTCAGGCTAGTTTTGTAAGTGATTGGGTTAATTGGTGGCAAAGTCATATTGCTCAAGCTGCGGCAGGAGGTGCTGTGAAGGAGGAGTAGAGGTAGAATAGGGAGTCTGAGTGTACATGTAAAGATACCAATAAACCAAAAGTTTTAGAAGTTATGAAATGAGATACAAGGGCTGTTGCTTGAGTTTTCAAGTGGGAAGTCCTTCCCGGTGAGCATAAAGTTTGGTTCCATTGGGGCTTTTCATTCACTTGCACTAATACCAAGGCGTAGTGTAAAATACAGTCAAGTAAACCTTTGTTTCTATAAAACTTCAAGATGAGGCGGTATTTTCGAAGCCGTATTTTTCGTCGAAGCGTAAGCGTTATCCTGATAGAAGAGAAGGTGCGTCCAAAATAGCTTATTAAGCACCCATTAGATATCCGTTGCTTATATCATGGAGTCCGGGGTCCACTAGTCCTGGAGCAAATAAAAGAATCCTAGACACTACAGAACCATACACCCAATTTCACATCATCTGTCCAAGCCATCCTCATTCAAAAGTGCGCCGCAATCAGACTTTATCGTCCATCTTGATTCGTATTATCTATTGACCAACATCTCATCAATTCCCCCAAAGAACTGAAAATCTATTCAATACATCTCGGAGACTTTGAAAGCATGGCGAGCGTCAACCTGGAAATAGCTGGTCTCTCCGAATCCTTCGAAGGAGATGAAACCACAACCATTTGTGAGCTTTGCAACAGCATACTCTTCCACAACACAGAGATTGGAAGTGAAATCGAGGATATGCTAGGGTTAAAGCTATCCGAAGAAGAAACACCTACTATGCTGCTGATCTTGAACGGCGCACATGGAGGCTGTCGCTTCTGCGCCGTGGTATGGAGAGCATTTAGAGATGAGGGAGTTTATCGGAATTTCTATTCAAACAATAATACTAATGCGTTGTCCTTGACTGATATTGCAAAGCGTTTCATCATAAGCTCTTTGTCTCTTGAACTTGAGGAGGGGATTTCTGTGGGCTATTACAAGCTGTCCTACAAAACAACCTATGAGAGGACAAAATGGAAGGGCGGTGGCGTTTTGGTGCTAGCTTTAGACACATTAAACGGTAAAGCACTTTTCATAGTGTCCAATCCCTGAGTTACAGCTTCAAGGGTAGACATGGAGAGTTTAAGCATATCTGCTGAAATCTCTATACAGGTTACCAAGACTTCCATAAAGCGTCACAGTCTCTTACAAACACCAATCATCTTTCTGAAGAGAGATGGAGGAACTTCTGTTATTCATCAATAAGAAAGTGCCAAGAAACTCACGAATTATGCAATTCCGCGTCAATATCTGAGAAGACTTCGCATTGCTTGCCTACACGTCTCATTGATGTTGAATGCGATCCTCCAAGGTTAATCTTGTCGTCTAATGCAGAACCTGCAAGTTCATACGCGACTTTAAGTCACTGCTGGGGCAAAGCACCGATCCTTACTTTGACGACGAAGAATATGGAAGCTTTTCAACAAGGGTTGCCCATTTCTCATTTAAGTAAAACTTTCCAGGATGCCATCGATGTAGGAAAAAGACTTTTACGAGACTTTAATGTAAGATATCTTTGGATTGACAGTCTTTGCATCATCCAGGATTCCAAACCAGATTGGGAGAATGAAGCACCAAAAATGTCCCAAGTCTATGGGAATGCCTTTTGCTGCATCGCAGCCTCTGCTGCGACTGATGGATCAAAGGGTCTTTTCTCTCCAAGGAACTCTCTGGTGGACGACGTACTATGTATAAATCTTGATAGAGCAAAATATCCGCGTCTGCAGAGCCCAGTAAGAATAACAATTCTCAACAAGGACAAGTGGCTTCAGATCATTCGAGAGGCACCCCTAAACCAGCGCGGTTGGGTTGTACAAGAGAGGGCTCTAACCAAAAGAACATTACAGTTTTTTAATGGGGAAGTAATGTGGAAATGTCAACAAATAATGGCATCAGAGTCATTTCCTGTCATATCATCTTGTTTAAAGATATCCGATGATCATCTTCTATTTCCCCATTCTCTTACCGCAAACTTCGCTTTCCGAAGATTCTGGAGTCAACTCTTACAGATGTATAGCAAGACTATTCTTTCGTATCCAGACGATATACTTATGGCAATGGCTGGTGTGGCACGTCAATTTGGGGAATACTTACCGACCAAAAACAAGGTTTATCTCGCCGGAATGTGGTCATTCGAGCTTGAGAGGCAATTGGGATGGCTAGCAACCATTCCTGGCTCTAGACATGATCTTGATCGTCGAGAATGCCCGAGCTCTAACGTCGCACCATCTTGGAGTGTGAGCGCAATTCATTCCTTGATATCATAGCTTCTGATACTAGTTTCTTTTCTCCTACTTTATTTTTCGTTTCCTCCTTGTAGAAACTTTACCAACATATTTAACCTTTGCAAGTATTTCCGTGATAGGCAATTGCTGACGATCCTATGGTCTAGTGGGCCTCATCAACAGGCAGGTCAATCGCAAATGCATGGGATAACGGTCCATACAATGAGGCTTCTACGCGCTGGTATGACTGGACTCCAGCAGAATACAAACATCACATGACTTTGGATTTAAATCGGATCCACCCTCCTGAATTTACCATCCTTGATGTCGGAACCACTATTTCTAGCAAAGACCCATTTGGATCCGTCACTTCGGGATTTCTTCGACTTCGTGGTCAATTGAAGGTTGGGCGTCACTCTTTTACATTGTCTAAACAGAATGCAGCGACCTGGAATAACAACAACGTTCACTACATCCAGGTGCTCGGTAGATCTCATCCGCTATTTTCTCCCATGGTTTTTGATCGTTTGCAGTCTGATGACAACCTGAGGGAGATTAGAGAAGGGATGTTGTTCGTTTTCCCCCTAAATTTCGAGACTAGTCGGAGCTCTCGTGCTCTCATTCTAAAGCCAAGCTGTACTCGGAAAAGTTTGGTGAGGGTGGGCTGTCTATTGAACCTTGCAAAGAATGTCGCCTATGATGCGGAGAGTGATAAACTGATTGGGGAGGAATTCTATGAGGAATCTCATGGGAATGGAGAATATACTATTCGTATCATATGACGGTTACTTTAAGAAAAGCTACTCCTCTTCAAAGACCATGAACTATGCAAGGCCTGGTGGACTAGCATCAGCCTTCTAGCTGTATTAGCAGATGCCGAATATTATGATGGAAGGAACTCTGAACAACTAATCATACGGGCTATAAATCAGTGAGCACAATGAAGCTCAATGTGATACTACTCGCATATTTGAGGGATTTCTCAACTCATATGACAAATATGAAGTTATAGAACATTACTCCTCAAATAATTGACACCGTCATCAGAATGAGATTCATGAAAGTTTACTATTGGCGAGTGGAATCATTGAAACAATTTAAACCCAGTATACCTAAATCGAACGTGATTGTATCACTTGAGGTACAGGTCCATCTGATTTTAGTATCATCGAGCACGTTGTTCGTCTACTCAATATAAGATGAACTACTACCATGCTTGGCAACACCATCCAGTTCTACAATATGGGTTCTAGGGCTTGGAGAAAGTAGGATCCCCAGCCCGCCCATTAAAATCCCTATTTATAGAAGGAACCCAGTCGTCACCGAGCTATAAGATGACACATAGAGATTCGCTTCAAGACATGAGTATGAATGGGTACTGGTAGTATGGTAATCAATCTTAAAATGCCAGCCATCTGTAGTGTGTATGAAATAAGCAGGACCGAAAACGCAATTGGCCATGCCTCGATATGAATCACTGCGATGTATTCAATAGGAATAAATAAGAGCAGATTTAACATAAGCTTTAAGGCCTCTATTAGCTGTAGCTTATTACTATATGAACTAGCATACAGATACCGGTACGAGTGACTCTAATCAAGACAAGTAATGCAGTCTAGTTTTAGATATCCTGTCAACTCTCGACTGCTTGATTGAGCGGGAATCATTGATCAAAACTATTTTATGGATCATATTTCCGTTTCGGTTTATGGAGTCTGGCAATATTATCACCATAGACAGTTGGTAAAGACTCGTGCGCCAAAACGAAATTAATATACCTGCAAGCTAGTGAGCATAATTAAACGGATAGAAGAATTTTTAAGACAACTGATGTGCTATTCTGTTTTAGGCCATCAGTTAATCGCCAAAGATCTCCGACCTTCGTGCCGAATGCCTCGTCTTCCTCTCGTCGAATTGAGACAGGGTATTACAGCCGGTACCAACAAGTGACCACGCATCAGGAGGAGAAAGAAGAGCCTGATATTCGACGAATAGAAGAGGTTGTAGTGACGCGAGATACTTTGTGAGCTTGATATGAACGACTAATACTGCTTATTACGGTATCATAGTGCAAGCTTTAGTATGGCCTGGTAGCTGATGTTAAGAAACAGTCAGACCATCCTCTTTTGTATAGAGTGATGAATGGATCATCCTTCACGATTAAGGACTCCTAGCAGAAATTGACTACAGATGACTGTTAGATATTCTGACTTTGTATGCCTAGCTAATCTCAATGTACTGCTTAAAGATTCGCGGCAGTGGTTGCATGGGACTGATTACTATACGATTTAAATTTGCAATAATCTTTTAAATTTAAATTTAGATATCTTTAAGTATAATAATATAATTTATTATAAATAATATAAATAATTTATATAAATAAATTTCTCTAATAAGTTTTTATAATAAGTTTTTTTGATAAGTTTTTCTAATAAGTTTTTCTAATAAGTTTTTTTAATAAGTTTTTCTAATAAGTTTTTTTAATAAGTTTTTCTAATAAGTTTTTCTAATAAGTTTTTATAATAAGTTTTTCTAATAAATTTTTCTACTAAATTTTTCTAATAAGTTTTTCTAATAAGTTTTTTTAATAAATTTTTCTAATAAGTTTTTCTAATAAGTTTTTCTAATAAATTTTTCTAATAAATTTTTCTAATAAGTTTTTCTAATAAGTTTTTCTAATAAGTTTTTCTAATAAGTTTTTCTAATAAGTTTTTCTAATAAGTTTTTCTAATAAGTTTTTCTAATAAGTTTTTATAATAAGTTTTTCTAATAAATTTTTCTACTAAATTTTTCTAATAAGTTTTTCTAATAAGTTTTTTTAATAAATTTTTCTAATAAGTTTTTCTAATAAGTTTTTCTAATAAATTTTTCTAATAAATTTTTCTAATAAGTTTTTCTAATAAGTTTTTCTAATAAGTTTTTCTAATAAGTTTTTCTAATAAGTTTTTAAATAAGCTTTTAAATCTTTTAAAACTATTTTATAATTACTAGAAATTAATAATAAAAAAGATTCTTTTACTACTACTAACTAGTAGTTAGATAATAACTCCTTATTCTCTTCTCTCTTAGATCTAGCGCTCAATTCATATATATAAGTCTCTCTCTAGTATCTATAGTATTCTTTACTCATAGATTCTAAGAAATACTACTATTTGATTTAATATATACTACTTTAATTACAAAATTTAAATTATATTTTACTAGAAAATTTACTAATTTCAACTTGAAACGATATAATAACTACAAATTTTAATCGAGTTTTAAATATATTACTAGTACTTTATATAAATTCTTTTCGCGTTAAAATGATATTATCAATTAGTATTCCCATTGAATATAATCAATGCCTACTTGATTGATACCTAGTAGTCTGTTGGCGCTACTTCAAACTTCAAGCGATTTACTGTCTCGCAGATGTCATAATAGATGGCCGCCTACAACTACACAAGATGAATATCTGTTATACTACACTTGCATTTTTTTGATGTTAATTTTGCTACAACAATTACCCGCCTCTTTGGGGGCCGCTTAAATTTGAATGGAACCCAGCCTTTTCGTGCTGTGCCGCTCGTCCAGGCTTTCCGCTCCAGTCTTTATCAAATTGGAATTTTCCACATAGAGTCTTTCGAGCATCTCTCTTGAATTACTTGGTCACCACAATAGAACCTTCAGAACAAGTAAATAGACCTTCTTTTCTACACAATGATTTTCGTTTACCCAATACTCTTTCTTGTATCGTTTCTTCTCTACAACGTGTACTCGCTGTATTTAAATTACAAAGATGCATCGGCATTGGGATTGCCCCGCGTAATCAGCCCTATCACTCCTGATAACCCTTTGTGGATTGCACTCCAAACGATATTCAAGACTGTTGTACGGCAATTCCCCTTCAGTGCATTTTCATTCACGAGACACACCCGTCTGGGATGGGAATTCCACGATAGGTTCCATACTCACGTACGTCTTGGAGACGCTTGGATTCTGGTAACGCCCACAAGAAACTGGATTTTTGTAGCAAACTCTGCCACTGTTACTGACATCTTTTCTCGTGGTCGGGACTTTGTACGCCCTATATGGATGCTGGGTAATTCTCCCATAATTTGTTGCTGAGAACGGGCTAATATGAAGTAGAAGCCCTCAATGTCTTTGGACCAAACATCTCGACTGTAAGATATCTTCAACTCAACATCACTGCCACGAGCTCACAAGTTTTAGGCAGAAGGACACGATTGGCAGAGACAAAGAAAACTCACTGCCACTCCATTCAATGAACAAAAAAGCCCTCAGGTGTGGGACGAATCTTTTCGCCAAGCCGAGGATATGTTGCAGTCATGGTGTTCTCAAAGTAGGGATGGGACAAATGCAACGCCGGACGATACTAGAACTTTAGCTTTACACGTGCTTGCATATGTTGCTTTTCAAAAGTCATACCCATTTGGTAGCATTTCTCACCACACAATTCAGGATCAAGACTTTCTGACTTATCGGGATTCTATCTCGATCATCCTGGAGAATGCCCTGCTCACAATGGTTCTTCCCGAGAAGCTGTTCAATCTGCCATTCTTGCCACGCAGCTCTCAGCAAGTTGGGTGGGCAATCAATTCATTCCGCAACTATATGGCTTCCCAAGTGGCAGCGGAGAAGAGATTAATACAGAATGGCGAGTCTGGTAACGGGAACCTGGTCAGTAACTTGGTCCGAGCCTCGAACGAAAGCCATTCTACTAGCCTAGATCCCGGCGAAGACAATAAACTCAAGCCTTTGACAACCGCCGAAATCCTTGGTAACATCTTCGTGTTCAATTTTGCTGGACACGATACGACTGCTATATCGCTTTCCTACTCCATGCTACTTTTGGTGGCGAATCCACAGGTTCAGGATTGGGTTCACGAAGAAATCAAGTACTATGTTGGGGGTCGAGATCCTAAAACACTGGCATACAGTGAGCTGTTTCCGAAGCTCAAGCGATCTCTTGCGGTTTTGGTAAGAACAATTGCTCGGGAAAAATATCTAGATGGTCAGCTAATTACTTGCCTTAGCTTGAAACACTACGTCTTTATAATCCTCTTCCCGGTATACCAAAATATACCGGCTCCAAGTCCACCGACCTGGTAGTCGATGACCAGACCTATCACATTCCTGCCAACTATTTGGTGGTTCCTCATTTGCAAGCTTTGCATACACACCCCCGTCATTGGGGTGGTGACTCCCTGACATGGCGTCCAGAAAGATGGATTGAAAACTCTTGCAATCTTGAGAAAGAAAGTCTATTTAATCCACCCAAGGGCACTTACTTTCCGTGGTCCGAAGGGATTAGGAACTGCCCCGGCAAGAGGTTTGCGCAAGTTGAATTTGTTGCCACCTTGACAGCACTTTTCAGGAGCCATGCTGCCGAGCCAGTGCCCAACAAAGGCGAATCCCTCGACGCAGCTAGGAAGCGAACTTTGGACACTGTCAAAGATAGTAACGTGGAGTTACTTCTACAAATGGCAAATCCAAGAAGTGTTTCTATCCGATGGAGACAAAGGCCAGCTGAAAAGTAGTACCTAGGTATGAATAGATGTGCGAGGACTGCAATTTGGACATCATGTTTTTGTATACCTTTCGTAAATAGGCAAGCAGGATTTTCAAGATCCTGAAAATTGCTTATAAAAATCTATTAAACGAGATTTTGAATATATCAATTAATAAAAATAGTATACTTATAGAGATATAAACTCTTTTGATAGATTATAGATTACAGAATCAATCAATCAATCAATTAATCTGAGATTATTTCAATTATAAATTTTAAGTCGAAGAGTAGGTTATATATATCACAAGATCACTCATCCATTAGCGAATAACAACATCGGCTTACATAACAACACAACCTCTCAGACTGTTTCAAGCAACCATCATTCCCATACACCACCCAGACTCTCAAACACCATTCGTGACAGCAACCACATGCGGATAGCAAAACAATGAATTTACAAACTTTGAACCAATCTCCCTGCAAGTAATCTGCTCAGGAACACCATGATTTTATCAGATACACCTCCCTCCAGAATCGTGGCTGAATGTGTCTCTAGGGAACCATGCATCTAACAAACTAAATCTTCACCATTCATTGACTAAAGAGCTAGTTTCATATCGTTCTCCTACTCTTCCTTATGACCATCTCATCCTATCCCATCCCATCCCATACCTCTTCCACAAACACATGCCAAGAACATTCCCTTCCCTTCTCTCATCCCAATCAATTCTCGAAGGCCGGTCCTTCCCTTCCACTCCCTACCATGACATCCCGAACATTCTTCTATCTCCCACTCATCATCTCCCTCTACATCACCTCCATCTCTTCATATCCCTTCCCCCCCCTCAACCTCAAAAGCAACCCTATCGAAACCCGCGATCTCTCCGCCGTAGCCAGTGAACTCGGCACTCTAGGAAGCGATCTCCAGAACTCCAGCACTCTAAAAACATTTCTCGGCGACAGAGGAAATGTGATTACGCAGAACGATGTGCTGGATAGTAATGGGAGTTGTGCTACGATGACTGTATTATTTGCGCGCGGAACAGGGGAAGTGGGTATGTTTATTTCACTTATCTACTGATTCATTAACCATCCCCTCTCTCTCGGAATCAAATGAATACACGGGAAGTCAGCAAGCGAATCAACATGACTAACTCAAAAACTAGGCAATGTGGGAATCCTAACCGGTCCTCCATTCTTCACCGCCCTCGCCGCATACATGAACCAAACAGGAAGCATGTCCATCCAAGGCGTCGATTATTCCGCGAGCGTGTCCGGGTTTCTCGCGGGCGGTGATCCCGCCGGTGCAAAAACTATGTATGTACTCCTCCTCCTACTCCTCAAACCCATACTCATCATTAACACACCCCAGGGCCGATCTAATAACCAATACTCTAACCAGTTGTCCCAATACCCATCTCACTGTATCCGGCTACTCTCAAGGAGCACAACTTGTTCATCTGGCTATGAGTTCGCTCCCCACGACCACCACATCACGCGTGAAATCCGTCGTCATGTTTGGAGATCCAAAGAATGGTACTGCGTTGGCGGGTATCGATTCGAGTAAAGTGATGACGATTTGTGATCCTAAAGATGATATTTGTAAAGGTGGAGATGTCATTCTACCAGCCCATTTGGAATACAGTGCAAATGCTGGAACTGCTGCCATGTTTGCGTTGAGTGGGCTGGCGGACGTGGGCATCACGAGTGCGAGGAAAGTTAGCGGAGTTGATGGGATATCTTGAATATTTCAAGATTGTGGAATGGGAAGAATATGAGAGATAAAATATTGTCTATATGTGCTGTTGAAGTCTTGAGACTAACAAAGTTGAGTTTGTTTGTATGTAATAATCTATCACAAAATCTATATCTATGGATCGTACATGGAATACATAATTGTACAAAAGGTATCTACACGCTTCACCCCAAAATTTCTCGTTCTAGAGAATCTCCCGTTCTAACCATTGTTTTGATAGCATTCAGTGTCCTTGAACAATCATGCTCCAAATCATTTAGTAAAAGCCGATTAGCTCTTGATTCCGCCGCCATAGCTTGTATATTAAGGAATCCTTTGGTAAGGTACAAGAATGTGCGGTATTCTGGACGTAGAGACGTCAGTAGCTTTCCCTTCCTCCTGATTTCCAAAGGTAATCTGTTCTTCTCGCTTGTTAGAGCTCTCAGCTTCGCCCATCCCTTCCAATGATCCATAAGAACCGTTTCGCATATCTTAAATGCTAGTTTAAAATGTCGAAACTTGGTAAGATGTTGAATATATTCGTTCCAATTTTGATTGCTTAATTGAAATCCCATATCCGTAATCTCGTTAACAGTTCGTATCATAACGTTGATTTTCCCTTGCCTTACAAGAGCCATCATGTAGAAATGCAAGGCTTTTGTCAGAGCGAGTCTATGTGCTGCCTTAATTGGCTCCTTGCTCTCATCGACTTTGGTATCCTCCAAAACGCCCTCTCCAGGTGCATGGCCGACCTCACCTTCAACCACTTCTGCCTTTTCGGAATCATTGGTACGAGAAAGTGATTTTGAAAGCCGAAGGGATTGAGCTCGCTTTCTAGTATCGGACACGAACTGCTGCCACAGATCTTCTACGGCGTCATAATCCAACTCTTGAAGTTTTAGTGACATCAAAGCAGTGGTAATATTCCCGGGTTGTGTGTCTCTTCTATCGGCTGGTAGCAATCTCAAGAAACGTTGATGCATATCCTTAGCGGATGTTATCTCCATGTTTTTGGAAAGCACGAATACAATATACCCAAAGAACGTGGTAGGAAAAGCGATATCAAGTGGCTCGTGCTGGATACCTTTCCTGACTTTGTCACTCATGTCGCGGGGATTGATTGTTTGGACAACTTGTTCAAAAATCTCCGTGGCACCGTGTGGGTCTCCCCAAGTAAGCCTAGCTGCGTGAATTGCAGCTCTTAATTCCAAGAATTTTGTACTTGCAGTTTTCATTCTTTTTTGCTCAAGCATTCGATCTTGGATTACAAAAACATCCCTGTAGCGTTTAGCAGCAAGATAGCCACCCATCACAATCGCATAATGAAGACTAGTGGCAGGTATACCAGCTTCTGGCATAACTTCTGCTAAAATTTGCCAGGCACGTTCAGGTTGTTTTACCATAGCCAGCGCTTGCATGAGAGCGGCATAAGTATCACCGTCATGCTCTATGTTAAGCTTAGACATTCTTTGAAGGATTCGATTAACGTTGATGAGGTCATAACGCAACGCCCAAGCAACAAGCAAAGAATTCCACATGCGGGTTCGTGAATCCGAGAACTTTAAATTCACGGCCTCTTCGCATATGGTTTCAGCTTCTTCCAATCGATCGCCTGCCAAATAGGCAGTCACGAGAGTGCTAACCATAGCTGCACTCTTCTCAACTCCATAAGTAGCAGACACCCGATACAGCTCAATGGTGTTTTCGAGATCACCACGCGAGGCACACATCCCCATCAGTGTTCCAAATGTGTAGTCGTCTGGTTGAAGTTTTCGTTTTGTGACAGTAGATTCAAAAGTCTCCAAGGCATCATCAACTTGGCCAACCTGTGCATAAGCACTGATGAGAATGTTGCAGCATGTTATGGTCGGCTTAAGACGATATTTCTTTCGAATACTTTTGAATACCTCGAGGACTATTTTGGGCTCTCCCCGCCTTGCGTGAACATGTAAGAGAGGAGCCATATCGTCGGCTGATGCCAGAGGATTAGGAGTTGTTGCAGATTCACTTTCTAATCGCATATACTTTTCTGCAAACTGCTCAAACAAGGCATGAACAGTGTCAGCATCTCCGTGGCGTGCAAATTCATCCATGCATCTCCTGTGCGACGCTCGATCTAAAGTCTGATTGAAGCGAAATATATCCGCAAACACTTCTTGGACCCCAATCAAATCATGATTTTTGAAAAATATTTGCAGTACGGATTGTAACATGGATCTTGGAAGTAAGAGATTCTTCATTGGGCTTACTCGGGCCTGCCTGTAAAGAACGATTGCTGCTTTTAGTTGACCAAGAGACAGTAGCATGCTTGTTGCCTGTGTATAAAGAGAAACAGACTCAGTTCCCCAGTGCTGAATATGCCTTAGAAGAGGCCAGAATGTAGCATATGAAAAGTGTTTGGCACTTAGTAGAGCTGACGTGATCACTGCCGTGGCAAATTTCGTGAGGGCTTCAGATGGTAGAGTTTCAACTTCTGTGGGAAGGCGGAGTGACTTGTTGACATACTTTGCTAGAAGTAAAGCTTTGTTTGGAAGGTCTTCTATGTGATGTAGACTTTTAAACATATCATAACGTGGACCGGCAAGATTCTCATGCAGCTGCACTTCTGTCCAGAGAGCGAAGGCTTGCGACCATAAATTATTTGTCATGAGATGTAACATAATATCTGATCCTCCAGCCGTTGTGTTGAACTTTTCGAGGGAGTAGTGGTAAAGTTCATTCGCTCTCGAAAAATTCTGCAGTCTCAAATAAGTACGAATCACAATCTCGTATATCTCTGGTTTCTCTCGACGTTCATCAGATCGCTCGAATAATGAAGTGGCCCTCTCCGCATCTACTATCCGATTTGAAGCAGCCATATATTCTAAGACTTGGATTCGAATTCGCTCCTCGGCCCAGCTCCCAAATTCCAGACGCCGATATTTTCGCCATACCTCTTCGTATCGGGATGATGTTGTTATTCCTAGAACAGTTGCAATGGTTGCTGCATCGTCAGGCGCCTCATGTATAATAGGACGCTTCTTAATCTCGGTGGATCCTTTCGTCTCTACATCTACTGGAACCAATGCTAACGAAGGTTTCTTAGCAGAAGATGAGTAGAGCCGATAGCCATGACTTCTCAATCCCAATCTGGCCCTCTTCCCATCTTGTCTATCAACGCCCATCCCTGGATATTGCCGTAGGAATCTGAGGGTACCGGCTGGATAGAGAAAATCCAAGAAGATGCCAGGATTCTCGCTCACAGTTCCATCGTTGGGCGATCGTGAGTTCGAGCCCTCGATAGAATCAGGTCCCTGTAACATGAGCTGCCATAACGGCGAGAGCTCAAGCTCAATTGCACCGTGGGTCCAGAATCCCGAATGAAGTGCGCGACGACTTTTGGCTAAGTGTTTTGGTCCTGGTAGAAGGCGCCGCAGACTGCCTGTTTCAAGACATCCCGCCGTGCGCTCGAGCATGCCCTACCAAGAGAGACAGGAATCGTATGCGAATTTGTAGAAGAGAGGTTTAATCGTCACCGGTGTGCGGCTCTAACGTGAAAATCAAAATCTAAGTCGAGATCAGCCGATTTTGTAAGTGAAAAAGATCACACACAAGCTCTGTACTCACCGTAGAACATGCTTTGCACAGTCAAAACTAGACTGCAGTTGAAATGACAAGGAGAAGATACTGTGAATTTGTCAATCTGCCAATCTATGGTGGTTTCGGTGAGATATCAAGTCTAATAAAGGGAAAAGAGGCAAAAACTTCACATATCAACGTAGGCAATAAATTTAGCTGGGTCGGATCATTATTTATTTTTGCTCCGGTTGCTTAAGTAAGCAGGCGGTATTTGTTTTTGTATGGAGGGGTGGTCTCGGTAGTATTCTCCGTCAGCCAAAACTCGAGTGATGATATCACCATTTGATTGTTCCAAATTATATTTGATAATGAAGGTCTTCAAAATGGATCGATTTGAAAAGCTTACTTGGAATAGAGAGAGAGAAAGATATGACCTCGGGAGGGAGTTCTAGGTAGTTTGTTCTTTCCCACTGCTAGGTATTTCTTTCATCTAGCTATCTCAAGGAGATGGATGATATGTATGTATACATTCGACCCATTCAGTCTATCAAGAAAGAGACATTAAGACATCACCGGGCACGTTAGAAGAGACCGCATTTGACGAGTTTAATATTTGCTAAAAGCCTTCAATTAATTGAATTGTAAATCAACCACCAATAAATCATATAAATCTCAAGACACCCAGACGATCGTTACCATCGAATTCTCCTGAGTCTTATCAATAGATGCATTTTCTATCAAACGTAAAGGGAGGTCATTGAAGTACCTATTGAAAGTACCTTCCTGGTAGGTGGCATTAAGAAGGTACTGAGGCCGATTTGAATCATTTGGCATAAACTCCAAAAATAAATTTCTGTCTAATGAAAAAAGAAATTTTAGAATCTATATAGTGTGTTTATAGAAATCTTATAAAGAAAGATAGAATTCAATTTTATTGAAGACTTTTTGTAAAAAAAATTATATCTTTGAATAGCCCTTAGAGTTAGCTTTATTTATTTGTTTTTAAAATTCATTTCGAAATTTTCTAAAAGAAATATATTAATATTTAAAATCTTTTTTCAAATAATTTTCCTTATAATATATAAATCATTTTAGAATAAACAAAATAAGCTTAATAAGGATTCCTTATCTCAGGAAAAATAAGCAAAATAAGCTTAATAAGAATTCCTTATCTCAAGCTCAAGCTCGAGCTTATCTCGCTTAAACTATATAATTAATAAGCAGAAATTCCTTATCACATTTATCTTAAACTCGAACTCAAGCTTATCTCGCTTAAATTATATAACTAATACTACTCTCAATTAATATATATAATATTAGTATAAATATTCAATTTAGTACACAACTTTGAAGGAATTGATAAAATAAAAAGAAAAGAAATAAGATTAATAATTAGAATTCAAGGAATCGATTGATATATTTCTTTTTGAATAATCTCAAAAATTGAAATTTTTATTTAATATAATAATATTTGAAAAACAAAAGATTCAATATTAAAAGTTCAAATTCATTAAAATACTTTTAAATTGAATATAAATTTCAATTTTTGAAATAATTCAAAAAGAAATATATCAATCGATTCCTTGAATTCTAATTAATAGGATTTCCTCTTTTCCTTTCATTTTATCAATCATTTTGAATTTGTATACTAGATTGAATATTTTAGTATAAAAGCACACTACTAAATTCTAAATACGTTTTTAGCTTAGACAAAAATCTATTTTTGGGGTTTATGCCAAATGATTCAAATCGGCCTCAGTAAAGGTCCAGCCCAGTATTTCGCTGACCGCTTTCCTTCCACCTAAATCATTCTGCCAGGATTAAATTTCGAGCTACAACTGATCTATACCTCTTCCACAACCCCACAATCCCGCAATCCACCCAACCATTCTTCCCAAACCCCTTCAAACAATGGAAATAACCAAATTCGTCCTCGAAGGACGAGACGAGGCTAAGCTGTTTGGTGATTCTTCTGCTTATCGAACTCGTCTTTCAAATCGCATTCACACCTTGAGAAAGAAGCTTGGAATTACCACAAAACCCCGCGCAAAGTACTCAAACAAGCCTGTAACTGCGGAGGATATTAGTCAAAGCCATGATTATATCCATCTCTTATTACTCACCTCCGAAAGAGCTTGGGCGCATGCTATGTCAATGAAAGAGATGCACACTGTCGATACAAAAGGAATAACTGGCTCAACTCGATCGCACATTGTTTCTCGATTACACAAAGCTACGATATATGCCAACGATCTTTTTCGATTACTGTCCGATAAATCGACCACCAATGCGAACGATGTCGATATATTGGAAGCTAGAGCATATGCTGCTGCTCTCGCTGGAGCAATGGAATTCGAGAAGCAAAGTTGGGAGGCTTGTGTGAAGAGATACGCTGAGGCTAGGATTATATACACTGCACTTTCTAAGGTCACCAAAGCGGATATCTTCAAGGATCTTTTGACCGACCCTGTTGATCCCAGTATACGATACGGAGCTTATAAGATGGGGCTGCCTCGAACACTAGCTATTTCTGCCATTGCACGCAAGAATTTCCCTTCGGAAGATCAAGAGTTGACAAGCCAGGTGGAAAAGCTAGACCCCCATTGTTTGAAAGACGAAGGAACATTGTCAGAAGTTGAAAGTCTGGAATCAGATGGGACAATCAAAACTATTGTCTGGCGATCCCGGACAGTGGTTTTAGAGGATGCGGCAATCGCTACTGCCCTTGGGTCAGTAAAAGCAGCTACGACGAAACTATCCGACGCTCTTTCGTCATCCAGTCCTAAGGATAGGGGTTTCGCTTACGACGATATTTTAATCGCTAGTCAAGAGGTAGTAGACGCTACGAAGCATGCTATTGACGAGCTAGTTTCGGAAGGTGTTGGGCAAGGCGATAAGCGAATGCAGAGCCTATTAGTGACTAGGACCGCTGTTAGCTATGATATGATTGGCTGGCGTATAGGCAGAAACAGAGTCATGGTGGGGCAGCAAGACGGTATTATCGACTACGTTCAATCATTTCCCGCGGAGAAGGGCAAGAGATCCACCAAAGATGAGCCTATAGGACGTAAACTCGCAAAATTACGCGAGAAGGTTGTCCTCTATGACGCAATCTTGCAAAGTGTCGAGTCAATTAGCGAGCTTCCAGGCGTTGCAGCAGATTCTAGTCTACAAGAAGAGCTAGATGCAAAATATAGCTATTTCCAAGCCCTTAAGTAAGTCTAATAGCTTTGAATTAACATATACACAACTGACTCTAGAATAGATGTTTGATCATAGCCCGCTCTCACGCAATCCTTTCAAATCCTAAAAATGCACTGGCTCTCTTGAATCGCGCAGCAGAAAAGTGCGCAGCTGCCCACTCAAAGCTCTCCTCTTCAATGGACACAACGACCACAGATAGTCCACCTAATTTAACCGTCTCTCCCTCTCAAACCGAAAACCTCCTTGCTTATCTTCAATGCGAACTTCAACGCTACCGCGCCTTAGTCGAGATATCTAATCTCACCTCGACTACCCCTAAACCAGGTGATGAAAACGTACAACAAGTTCCCCTAGTTGAACGTCTCCATGAGTACCCAGCCGATGGAGTTGTTGATCTCAAGAATCTCGTAAACTATCCTCCAAAGCTGGAAGTTGTACCTGTCAAACCACTATTCTTCGATTCTGCGTGGAACTATATTGATTACCCAGGAAGAACAACCGAGAAAGCTGCTGAAAAGGCTGCTGTGGAGGAAGAAGTGAAGGAGACAGAGCCGGAGGAACAACAGGAGCAGCACCAACAGCAGAAGAAAGGATGGTTCGGCTTCGGTAGATAGATACAGGAATTGGATTAATAATTGTTGCTAAGCGAGCGAAAGCTATCGAACATATCCATCAAATATCAATCTTGCTAACGCGGGGTTCGCTAGTAAGATTGGCAAAATAGAGCGTTCACAATAATTAGCCGAAGCTAAATAGTTGTAAGAGCTAGCTAGCTTTGAAAATATATAAAACTTTCAAATCCTGATATGTTCTCTTACTTGGATCATCAGTGAGTGTTCAGACTGATGGGATGCAGTGAAAATGAACTTGAAAATACTTCTTGAAATATCGATTTGTGTTTCTCGGGGATAATTTCAATGATTCATTGAAAGTTGGGCAATGAAAAAATAGGGCTTGATATCAAATTATTAGAAAATGAATTTGTTGATTTGTATATCACCAGAATGATCTCAATAATTTATTAAGAATTGAACAATGAAAAGATAAAGTTTGACATTAAATCATTAGAGTTTGAATCTGTTGAAAATTTCAAGTGTTGTGAAGTATCCCGTTAATCCATATACTCACTAGTGGACTCACTGAAACATCTGTTAGGCATCTACGAGTAGTTTATAATCATATTTTATTACCATACTCCATTGCTACCATATTCAAACAACCTCCATCCCATCATTTCAGACGTTCAATACCTACCTAGCAATAAATACAAGCATATCTAACCCACCCCACCCCAATCCCTAAACGCTCAAAAGAAGAGTAAATCCTGATCCCTCCACCCCAAATCCGACAAGATACCATGTACACTCTTCTCCAAGGCTTCCGGTCCACAGATCAAAACCAATTGTTCACCATCCCTATACCCATGATCCTCATCGCTCATCTCAAACCTCCCGATTTCCTTCTCCAAAACATCTTTTCCAAGTCTTCCTCGTATTCCTTTCCATTCCTCCGTTGGCTGACTTAATGCATATACTAATCTACATCTCTCCTCCTTTCCCTTCACCAAACTATCCAATTCCTCTCTGCAGAGAATATCTTCCATCCTCCGGTTTCCATCTAACACTATGCATTTCGGTCCGTCTGCCGTCTCCTCTTCATTAAGCACCGCTCTCAACACCGAGAAAATAGGCGTCACGCCACTTCCTCCACAAATCATCACGAATCGCCTTACCCTCCTCTTTTTACCCCCGATTACACACTCCCCTTTCGACAGGTACTCGAACTTTCCAATCGGTCCTTTGAAATTAATCGCATGTCCAACGGGGATACTTTCCAGCGCCATTGTCATTTTTCCTCCTGGTCCCTTTTCATTTTTCACATAGATCTTGATCAGTATTTCTAGAATACCTTTGTCGGTCCCAAGCGAAAGAGGCGTGTAGGATCGTATGATCGCTTCCCTGGTAACGGGATCCCGTAAACGCATCATGAGATGTTGACCGACCGGTAATCCAATGACTTGCTCTGGATGATCGAGAGTAAAAGAAAAGATGCGCGTATCGCTCGAGATGACTTTCTTAGCGGTGAGGATGGCTTTCTGCCAGCTTTTGGGTTGGAGGAAGATGGGACGGAGTGATTGGGATGAGGAGGATAGGGGCTCGGGGTTGAGGAGGGAGATACGGGCTGAGGGGGAAAGAGTACCGATGTGGTAGGCGGTCATCATTGCTTTTGCCGTTTCGGAATGGATGGCCATGAATTCGTCGGTGGAATCTTGACCTGCGGCGCCAGTAATACTTGTTGCGCCTCCTGGGTGACCTTCCAGGAATGGGGCACCGTCGTAGACTTCGCCATTGAGCACAAACCAAGGTTCCTTTTCGTTGTCATGTTGACGTAATTCCTCGATGGATATCTCACGTTTCAGGCCGTCTTTTGTCATTTTTATCTCCTGCTTGACTTCGACCAAATCGACAGATTCATCTTCAGTGCCCATCTTCTCGCCCCAAAATCCATTGGCGAGATTCCCTCCAGCAGCTTTTACTCTTTCCATCCATCCTCCTGGCATAAGTGCTGGTTGTGTGGGATGTTCGAAGCGTAGATAATCGCCTTCTTTGGTAATGGTTACTCGATACCATGGATTGTTCATCATGCCAAGCACACTCCAGTACATATCCCTCGGTTGGACATTCATACTCTCGTCCATGGCTCTTACCATGATATCTCCTGACATTGCGAGGTCTTGGATCTCCAAATCAACCTCCCAAAAACACCATGTGAAACATGTTTCTCTCCATTCCATATCTAGTTTACCACCGAACAACGTTTCATTTTCGTAGGCACGGTCTCGATAGTCGTCTTCGTGGTATCGTATATCAGCTAACGCCCATGATTTTCCTTTGTCAAGTGTTACCTCAACTCTAGTAATGCGTCGTCCACCACCACCATACGCATAGCCCTTTGCACGATATGTTTGTTTTCCGCTTTTTAAAGATATTCGCTCTTCATGTTCTGGATATGCGGTGGCGCTGTTTGTACTCAGATCATAGATAGCATATCTCTCGTCTGTCCACCACTTCGGTTCGTTGGCACTCTGCTCTGGGCTGATCATAGTTGGAAGGACTCGGTTATCGTAAATGTGGTACCAGTTATCACTAGGAGCTGCGGTAACAATAATCTTTTTCAACCATTTCACACTGCGGCCACCAATTTGTCCGGGAACAACAGCTCGTAAAGGTTTACCATGATCGGGTCGAAGCATTTCTCCGTTCATCTTGTGGGCTACCATAATCCCTCGATTTGGGTCCATAACCCAGTTAAGCTTTAGGGAAGTTCCATAGTAACCGTTAGGAAGCTTATCGGCACCCTCCATACAAACATACTTTGCTCCTCTCATTGGCATCGCCTTTCTAATCAGCTCGTACATTGGTACGCCTGTCCATAATGCCGTCGACACGCCGGCAGCTCCCCACGAGAAACCTTTAGACTTCCGGACTTGGTTCTGTTCTTTACGACGATTTCCGGCGCAGACAAGTGTGATAGGTACGGTGATTTGTTCGTATTCTCTCAGAAGATCTTTGAGTGTGAGAGTAAATGGTTTTTTGACCAATCCTTCAACGGAAAATTCCCAGTCGGGTATTGATGAGTCCTCAACATGAGGTACCGCTCCATGATTCCGAACATAGAACAATTCAGGCGATGTGAGAAACCCTTCGTCATATAAAGCGCTTAATGGAGGTTCGACGTTAAAGGGATGAATTCCAGTCAGCCGAATAAGTCGAGGGTCCCGGGGTACTTGGTTGTCTGGTGTTTTCAAATCCTCTTTGAGAATCTCCGTCGGTGGATTTGTTGGAGGTGGGAGAGTGTATCGCTGTGATGACAATGAGGTTGAACTAGGTCGACTTGATAAAGAACCCAGCTCATCTGCACTGTTCTCATTGGAATCTGGTGGAGTCTGTGGCAAATAAGGAATTATCTTCGACATCTCCGCATCAGCCTCGGAAGAGTGTCTATTCATGAATTGAGCACTAGCCATTGAGATTCTCTTTTTCGTTCAAGATATCAAAATCATAAGAATAAGATAGAAAAGCTGGTAAAATCTTACAACTGAAGGGCTTGTAGGATACGATGGTATTGATCCAGTGAAGTCCTCTTGCGCTCAGATAAATGAGGGAAACAATATTCGACGAGGGTTTCAAGCCAGTGAATATATAAATTTCTCCGCGGGTAACATTAATGGAGAGTGATGATGCAAGGAAAGTCTAGAGGCAAAACCCAGATCGATACAAGGAGCAATGGAGCGCAGTGCACCAATTATTTGAAATCATTTCAATCAATAAGTCCCACGGCAGAAATCCCACTAGAGATTCTCCAGACGAGTGTATCATTCACAAAATTTACAAAGGGTATCATCTAACGTCGAACTATGACTTTCCTAAAAGCCACGATATCGTGAATGCTGCATATCCTGAAGCCAAGTACGATCTTTGAGGATTTCCGCGGATGTCTCTTTATTTTTATGCAGAGAAGATAAGAAAATCTTTCTCTGTATCCATATCTATACCCATCAGTAGCCATGGGCTTGAATGAGATACGTTTGGTGGCTCCGAGCGGACCATACTTGTGCTTTTTTTCTTATCTCTATAATTATCGAATATGATTGGTCCACCAGGTTCGGCCACTAACCGTTACTAATAGCGACGGGAACGAAGTATTTCCGATTTCGAGGCCTAATTGACATGCTTGTGTATATCATGAACTGATGATAAGGAAGGATTTCATGTTATTGCGCCAATTGACTGGAAAATCTGGTTGGTAATGGCTTCGTTGTTAACTCGGGGTTCTTTGGATTGTTTCATGGAATGATTTGAAAAAGATAAGAAGCTAGATATCCCGGGCTATTTGCCGGACGCTAGCCTTCAATTAGCACCGTGATCCCCACGATTCATGTCTTCCTTAGATGCAACACTCATGTCGCAGGCCATGATCAAAACCCCTCATGGTGAACCAGATATCAAAACAATAACGCAGTTTCCTTTGAGAGCGATGGCTTGTTTGCGATCTCAAGACCGAAATCAACAACTTTGGAGCTTTGGGAAGAACAGGATACACAAGCATGCATGCGAGAAGGAAGGAATTGACGACTTGTTCATACTATTATTGTGAAAACCCTTCCCTCTAAGAGTGTCAAAACTTTATGACCGTAAGGCTATCTCTCATACATTATTGTGCCTCCAGAAATGCAAGTCACAGTGTTGGCAAATGTCTCAACTCGGACTCGTATCAAGATAGACAGAATCGGGCGAAGGAATTATAGCAACAATGACCACCAAAGCTTTCCCGAGATCCATCTGGTCATAGCTGGGTATTTGAGCTTGTTCCTGTTTGCCACGGCCATCACATCAGATGACCTATACTAGATACTCGCAGTGAGATAGATGGTCGAGCCCCCGTTTATCCAACTATTGGTAGAACGAAAGGGTGGTGTTCCAGAATGGAATGGAAATACCACAAAAGTCTCTGGCAATCCAAATAAAACCATTCCAGCCATTATTGAAGTGAAGCAAAAATTTCAGACGGTTCAGAGTATTGCGTCACAAATGCGCATCGCGCGAACCAGTACATCGTAGCAAGTTGATCATAACGTTGAAGTCAACGATATAATAGGAAACGCTGTCTGGATCTTGCTACATTGTTGAAAGAGGGATGTCCTTTCGCATCATCGAGTCGCTGTAGCAAAGACTCAAATGTCCACTCAGCATGCAAATCTCCATCATGAAGTTTAAGTGCTCTATCACTTCTGACAGGCTTCGATGAAAGATCCCTAGACACTCTCCTTTGCTGTTTGATCCTTTCTTTGATGAACATGAATCTGTGAGGTCAACCATTGTGCTGGTTGGCATTCATGTGGGTTATGACTTGGGAGAGTGTAGGATCAATCTTGCTCATGGAAATTCAGAGAGAGGGTGCACAATCTTTGGCTCTTAGTTGTGTGAAGGTTCATTCATTTTTGAATGAAAGTAACGTGAGACAAACGAAGTCAATACACCGAATAGTCAATAGATGTATTCTCAGACCCTTGGCAATGAGAATAAGTGGGCAATAATATATTCTTACTGATTGATTACCTACATGAGATGACAGTATTGTGAGCACACTAAAGCTATCATGTACCAAGACTGACAAGTAAGGAAAGATGCAGACTCAACAGGCTTATGAGCATGACACACTCTCATTGTATATGGCTTTATAGATGCAACTATTCTTATGCAGGACAAGACGGTGATATCTGACCCTCACGAATTCACTGACTTTATAACATGTAATGGTAGTGATTGACTGACAAACGAAACAAGCATTAGCAAGCAAACAATGAATCCTAACCACCAGAGATGTAGTAATCTATTCACTGTGGTGAAATACATGCATTCCAATGAGATTTTGTTATTTGATTTGTTGATTGAAATATCTCAATGTATTGATCATGATGGATCTTTTTGAGGTCACAGAAACTTAATCGATAACAGTAGTAACCTTAGGTCTGTTAGTTCGATCCCTTCATTCGAGCAGCAGCAGTAGCAGTAGCAGTAGCAGTAGCAGTAGTAATAAATATATTTGGGTAAGGCAAGGGACAAGGCTCGCACGGGCTACCTTTAATCTTCTCTACTGTGATTCCTCAATTCCACAATTTATTGGGAAACTTTCTCACAACCCATCTTTCGACTCAACTTCTAATTTCTCTCAACCTACATAAAAGGGTGCTGGACAATCAATTCAAAGGGAAATAATCACCCCCCAAAACTAACCCTTCATATCCAGATGCATCTGTCTGCTTCTGTGAAGTCATACTACCTTTGGTCTTTCTTACAAAATCCCTGATGTGGGGCGCAAGGAACACATATCGCACCCCCCACCTCAAAATATAACGATCCCGCCTGAATAGGCTCATCATGGATCGCAAGAGAAAGCGTGAGTACTTGCATATTACCCTACGACATGCAGACATACAGGCTGACGTAAATATTGATTTGAAGGCGAACTGCGCGACTTAAACACTCGCGCTTGGAATGGCGAGAAAGGTTGGTTTGATATGCGAACAACTCATAAACTGTTCTGTCTAACGTTGGATACAGACATTTATGCCGTGAACAAGTCACTAGACTCATCGCTCAAGAAGAATACAGCCTTCATCAAGCGCCTTCGAACCGCAATTTCAGCTGCGACCCTTAGCACCTTCCTACAAGAAATTCGAACCCTCAGCCTACACAAATATCTCTCGGAAATTATATCAGCTTGTTATGAAGGGCTTTGCAGACTCAAGTCGCCGGGAGAGGTTGAGGCGGGTGTAGAAATTGTCAGCGCATTACATCAGCGTTTTGGGCCGGCAGAATTTACGGAGTTTCTAGGATGGTTGGTAGGAAAAGGATTGGCTACACCCGAAAAGTCGTTATTGAAGAGTCTCGCAGCCGAAGCCCGGGAGAAGGAAGAAAAGGAGCGGATTGTACGACAGAGAGTACTTTTGAGAGTTGTCACCGAGTTGTGGCTGGTGGGAGTTTTGAGAACGTTGGACGATGTTGCTCGACCAGATGACGCATCTCACGGCAAGGAGTCTCTTTCGGGATCATCGAACAAGGCACCAGATACTAAAGCGAAACCGAACGGGGCTGGAAAGGGGGGAGGTGCGGAACCGTTTCCTCTAGAAGTTCTCAAGGATCTTCTGGGCCATGATAGGGATCATGCAAACTTGCCCTTACTGGTAATTTTTGTAAAAGCATTTGGTTGGGACATCCTCGGTGTCAGAGAAGCCGGATATGAGGGCAGAAAAATTGTGGAGGAAGACGGTACTACGAAGACGACGAACGATGCCACCGAAGGTGAAGGTGAGAATGAGGACGGCGACGAGAACGATTCGGTGGAAGTGACGTCACCCTTAGTGGACTCGACCGAAGATGCCCCTCTTGCTTCACCTGAACTCCAGGAGCGTTTCCGCAATATCCTCAACCGCTATTTTGAAGATGTCAAGGCGCACATTATTCGCGATCAAAAGGCTATTGCTAAACAGGCCCGCAAAGACTCAGAAGCATATGTCAAATCTGGCCAATTGTTTGAGGATCGCCAGGCAAATTACGAGAAGGCGCTTAAAGGGCAAGAACGACTTGTATCAAACGCTCAAGTTCTCGCAGAATCCATTGGCGCAGAAATGCCAGATCTCAAGGACTCCGATGATTCTTCGGCCTTAGGCAATGGAGGCATTGGGCTTGTGAAGGCTGGCGATTATCTGAGAGGGGAGGGTGAGGGCGCAGGTATCTGGGAGGACGAAGATGAGCGAAGATTCTACGAAAATCTGGTAGATCTCAAAGGAAAGGTCCCGGGTATGCTCCTCGAAGATGGTAAAAAGAAGAAAACAGATACGGACGAGCAAGTGGGCAAAAAGGTCGACACCTCCGAGACGATTCCCTCGGAGACCACTGCGCCCACAGCAAAGACTGCAGATGATGATCAGTCTACAGCCATCGCCAACAAAACCATTGGTGCCCAGGTCGATGCATTGCTTGCTAGACTCCCTGATCTTACAAACAAAGACTTGATTGACGAGGCTGCTATTGATTTCTGTTTCTTGAACTCCAAAGCTTCTCGTAATCGTTTGATCAAAGCTGTGCAAGAGGTTCCTAAGGGCCGCAGTGATCTTCTGCCATCATACTCAAGACTAGTAGCAACACTGGGAAAGTACATGCCTGACATTACCAAAGGCTTGGTTGACCACCTTGATCAAGAATTCCGTAGCCTTCAACGTCGCAAGGAAAAAGAATTCTTAGGCCAAGCCCGACTAGGAAACATCCGCTACTTAGCTGAACTGACCAAATTTGGCGTGGTTCCTGAGCATGTTATATTCCATTGCTTGAAAGTCAGTCTTGACGACTTCTCACGGATGAATATCGAGATTATATGTAACTTGCTAGAAAACTGTGGCCGATACTTACTTCGCAATCCAGATATGTCCCCTCGAATGACATCCTTCTTGGAAACACTGAAACGCAAAAAGTCTGTCCAACATATTGGCCAACAGGAGCGGATGCTGATCGAAAATGCCGTTTACTATGTAGACCCACCTCTACGACCAACGATCCAGCAAAAGGAGAGAACTCCAATTGATTTGTTCATTCGCAAGCTTGTCTATTCTGATATGACTACACGAAACTATGCTAGAATTATCAGGTCGATTCGTAGACTTCACTGGGAAGAATCGGAGGTATGTACTATCCTCAAACTTTAGAGGAGATTTGTTAACATTTTATCAAAGGTTGTCACTATTCTCGAAAAAGTCCTCTCCAAACCCGGAAAGGTGAAGTATGGTAACATTTATCTTTTGGCAATTGTTACAAGCGCTCTATTCCGTTACCACCAAGGGTTTGTAATCACAGTCATTGACAATGTATTGGAATACATTATTGTTGGTTTGGAGCAAAATGATTTCAAGTTCAATCAACGTCGGATTGCAGAAGCCAAGTACCTTGGGGAACTGTACAATTTTCGAATGGTGGATCATCCTGTCATATTTGACACAATGTACCGTATTTTGACATTTGGTCATGGTGAGCTTCAATCGCAGCATTTTACAATTTTGCGGCACGCTAACATGATTAGGTGGACCACCTGTGCCTGGTCGCATCAATCCTTTCGATATGCCTGATGACTTTTTCAGGATTCGTCTTGTAGCCATTCTATTAGAAAGTTGCGGCGTTTTCTTCAGTCGTGGTGCGGCAGGAAAGAAGCTTGATTATTTCTTGTCATTTTTCCAGGTATATTATATTACAATCCCATTATTGCTGCCATGCTAACCTGTGTAGTACTACATCTACACAAAAGATCCTCTCCCTATGGACGTTGAATTCATCGTCAGTGATGTTTACGCGGCCACAAGACCTCAATGGAAGCTTGCTTCAAACATAGAAGAAGCTAGTCGTGCGTTCCAATTGGCCATGGCCCAGGATCAAAAGACTGCTGGCATCGAGAAGGTTGCTGAACCAGAGGAGCCTGACAGTGAGGCATCATCAGATGAAGGAGACGCAGGCATTCCAGAAGGAGATGTCGACGATGTTTCCCTAGATTCGGAAGAAGAAACGGAAATTGATGCTAATACCGACAACTTAACATCACCAACAGGAAATGAATCAGAAGAAGAGAATTTCAAAGTCACTCGCCAGGAAGAAGAAATCGACCCCGAAGATGAAGCCGACTTCGAACGTGAGTATGCTAAAATGATGGCTGAGAGTCTAGATTCCAGAAAATTTGAACGAAAAGCGACCTTCGATGTCCCACTTCCCATGAGACGCAAAGACCGTGAAGTCGCAAACCCAAGCGAATTGCCTAAAGAGACTACCTCAGAAAATGGTCCATCCAGTGGTACAATGGCATTCTCACTCTTAACAAAGCGTGGTAATCGACAACAGGTTAGAATTTCCTCCACGAGATATTACAATTGTCACTAACTATTCACTTGTTAGACTCGAACGGTAGCCCTCCCTTCAGACTCAAACTTCGCAATCGCTATGAAATCACAACAAGCTGCCGAGCGCGAGGAGCAACAACGCATCAAGAATCTAGTTCTGAATTATGATCTCAACGATGGCGAAGAACAAGATGGTGACTCTGCACTGCAACCCTTACTCCCTAATCCCAATATTCACACTTTCACTTCAGGTTTCGATAAAAATGCCTCTACAACGTTCTCCAGATCTGACAAATCTGGTAGTAACCGTAGTGGACAGAGGTCAAGAAAACTACAGCTTAGTGATGTTGATTGGTATGGTCCCCCAAAAGAGTCTTCTCAGATTCAAACTCCAGGAAATGCCCTAAAAGAAGAGAATCGTAAAGCCCGGAATATTCCTGAGTTGGACGTTGGGATAACTTCAGTATCTACGCGAAAAGTTTCCAAGTCATGCCCAAACCTCACTGTTGAAAGTAGCCCAAAAGATAAAGGTTCCCCCCAAAAGGAAGAGAATCTGCCAATGAGAGATACGCCTGGAAGTATTTCCAAGAAGTTCCGTCCGAGATAATAATCTGGCTTTCATTTCGGCAATTTGGTATCCTACTTTGAACAGAGAACAACTCAAAAATTTGCTTTCATTTCTTCTTGCCAACATTACTAAAAACAACAAGGATAGACGAGTGCTGACATGTTCCCCTTTATCCGGGGACCGCTTAATAGGACGTGATAAATTTTGGTATTATCATATTCGCATTTCAAACCCGAACTTTGACTTGGGGATTGAGTTCGCGAACACATAAGTATACACTTCTTCTCTGCTCACTCGATATGAAGTTCACCGCTGTCTGTGGATACTTCTTCTTCGGGTGTTCATTCATTAGGGAGGGGTATGATTCAACGTGGCCCATTGTCGACCGAGACTCAACGCATCAGCAAACAATCAATTCCGATGATGGATGATGAGTTGATGTTTGTCAAGGTGCTAACTAACCCAAAGAAGCGGCAATCGTAGTGGAGATGGAGGATGGGATGCAGATGTAGCTCTTATGAGGATCCGAGAGATGAACCTTTACAATTCACTCTGGTGACCAGGACGGATGGACGCGCAGTTGATTGGTGGGCACATGAGAAGTGAAGTGAGGTACCTAGATAGATATGATGCTGAAGAATCGCACCGTGATGAAGATTAGAGAATTTGGTGGCCAATCTCATTTTTTTTTGTTCATGCACTCGTTGCACTTGCGTCCCTTATCTTATCTTACCTTGCCTTGCTTCCTCTGTTGTCGTCGATCGTTTTACATTCTTCACGTGCATGCATGCATATGTTTGTTTCATCCTCACTATCCCATTCTCGCCCGATCCTTACTCTTCTTCTTTGACGACCAGTAGAGGACTCGGGAATAGATATAGATATAGATAGGTACCTACCTGTACGATAGATAGGGAGATTGTTATTAGGAAGATATGGATGGATTCGATTCAGCATATATTTGTAAGATACTCACTATTAATTGAAAATGAAGTACAGCACATTATCTCATATTATATCGTATCGTATTGTTTTGTAGTGTTTTGACGTAGTTTATAAATACCTAGGTATATACATCATATATCACCTAGCTAATTGATGTAGTAATCTAAGAAAATATAAACATCTAGGTATTTATTAAACATTTGTTAAAAATTAATTAATCATACATTCTCGTTTACTAACCCTTCCCCCCTTCCCCCCTTCTCTCTTCCAATTACAATTCCAATTCCAATTATTACACTTCCTCTCCCTCCTCTCATAATCCCATACTCCCACATCTATAAACAACATATCAAATTACACAACATCACTCCACTCCATTCAAACTCCATTCATCGTATTCATATTCATAACATCCATTCATTCTATAAGATCATTCGTAGCTTCGCAGTTGTACCACAACGTACGTCATGCCTATTCTATTTATTTCCACCCAACTCCCTCGGCTTTCACATCATATATTTTGTTTACTTCTCTTCAACCTCTGGCTCAACCTTTTCAGCATCTGTCATGATTTCATCACCATTTCCTCCACTCTCGGCTGCCTCCATGGCCATCGCAGCTTGTTTAGCAGCTTCGGCCATATCTCTCTTCCTCTGTAATTCAGCTTCTTCTTGTTTCCTGACTTCCTCACGCTCAGCTTCGACTTTGTCAAAGTAGCGTTGAGCAATTGGTCCTGCTACCATGCGGATATCGTCCATCTTTGATACGTAGACAGCCTTGGATGCGTCTTCACCTTCATCGTAGAGCCAGTCCTATTTCCTAGTTAGTACGACTAATTCCAGGGATAAGCAAATCAAGAAAACTAACCTCGCTAGCCTCAAGCTTAGCCTTCAACTTCTCCTTCTCCTCATCACTTGCAAACTCGGCATATTGATCATCGATCTTGCTTCTCATTTCGTAAATGTAAGTCTCGAGTTCGTTCTTCTTCTCTTCGGTATCGGCGACCAATTTGTCTTCCATGTTCATGGTGTTTTCTTGTTCAGAAGCAGTGGCAATGGCGGCGGTGTCGAGGGAAGCGGTACCAGAAACAATTGGAAGATCACCCTTTCGGACTTGCTTCTTAACCTTTCTGGTCTTTGGTTTATCATCGGTGTCCATAGCCTTGGTGGTGTGTGTTAGTTTATCATGTCCCTGTAAACGGGGACGTTTTGCGATACGCTCGTCTTCAGAATAGGGTTGAACATTATCAGAAATTTGGTTACTCACATCATCCTTCTTCTCACCATCCTTCTCTGGGATTGGCTCCTCAACTTCCATATCTTCAACGTAGTAACCTTGCTCAACGTTCAAGATACCGTGTAAATTGAGACGTGCCTTCAATTTACAGATCATGAAGTCATCCTTTGAGTCGGCCTTAACGTTCTTCACGGTAAATCTTCCGATCCATGGGTTCATTGTGCCGGGGAGTAATTCTGGCTTGGCATATTTGGCCTCTAAGTTGAATGGTTCCTTTCTGTAGAAAGTAAGGATCTTGGTTGAAGGCATAATTCCACCTCTGTTGAAAACGGTGAGGCTGGTATCTTCATCTGGAATATCTGGGGATTTTTCCCATGTGAATTCGATTGGGTAGTTAACGATATCGTGAATGGCAAAGTCGCGGACACGGAAAACTGGGGAAAGAATGGCGCAACTGAAAGCACATCCTCTCGCGATAGCCTCATCTTGGTTGAGGGTGAAGGAAAGGTTCTTTCCGAAGAATTGTTGGATGCGCTCCTTGAGAGCTGGGACACGTGTGCAACCACCAACAAGTTCGATAATGTCGATATCCTCAGCCTTCAATCCGGCGTCGGCCAAAGCTTGCTCCAAAGGAACGTGGGCACGGCTAAGAAGTGGCTCAACAAGTGCCTCGAGTTCCTCACGCTTCAACATAGCGCTAACATCAACGTCGTTCATCAAAGATTCAATGTTGAGAGGAGCCATGGCGTTGGCGGACAAGATCTTCTTCAACTTCTCGGCACCAGCGGCAACACGGACCATAGCCTTAGGGTTGGTCTTGATATCGATCTTGTACTTCTCCTTGAACTCTGCGGCGAAGTGCTCAACCAAAGCCTTGTCGAAGTCTCGTCCACCGAAATGTCTGTCGTAAGCAGTTGACTTGACGGTGAGTTCACCCTTTCTGAATTCCACAATCGAGGCGGTATAGTTGGAGTGACCAATATCGATGAAAGCCACACGACGGGGCTTCTCCTCAGGACTTGGGAGATCCAATTTAGTAATACCCCAGCCCAATGCAGCGGCGGTGGTATCGTTCATTAAACGAAGGAGCTTGACACCGGCAATCTCAGCAGCATCCATCAAACTTCTACGTTGAACATCGGTGAACCATGCTGGTACACTCATGACCATATCTGACACTGGAAGCTTCAACTCAACGGAAGCGGTTTGTTTGATCTTGCTCAGGTACATAGCCACGAGTTGAGTAGCAGTGTATCTCTCCTTCTTGCCCAAATATGTGACTTCCGCACCAACTTGACCATTGAGGTCGACGAGAGGAGCCGAGACATAATCTTGTTCCAAAGCGACATCTGGGTCCTTTAACGATCTACCTGCCAATCTCTTGAGGGATCCAACAGTGTTCTTGAGGTTGGAGATTTCTTGTGTCTTCGCTGGTTCACCGAGGTATCTGGCTTTGGGTCCGAATCCTACAAGGGAACTAGATGGCAGACATGTTAGAAGTAATTCAAATGAAGTGGAATCCAGATAACTTACGGAGTTGCACGATTCGAGACTTCGTTTGTGATCTGCGCAAAAAATAGTTAGCATAAACTAACCCCCACCAAAGGGAAAACCCATCCAAGAGTGTGAAAATACTCACGACATCGACACCACGGTTTCTTGCGACCGCGATGACTGTGTTCAGAGTACCGAAATCTACACCGACGACTATTACACCATGACAGTTAGTATCAAAGTCCCCATCAAAGAGCAGAGCTGGGTAAAGTAGTCATCACCTACCAGACATATTGAGTTTGAGTTGATGTCTTTGCGCTTAAAAGTAAATGGGGGTATGTAAAAGGTAAGAAGAAGAGGAATCTTCTGCAGATAAGGGAAGAAAGGATATCTAAAAAATTAGAATTCCTTTTTGGAAAGTCTAAAAAGAAAAAGATAAAAACTTTTTGGGGGGGGAATATGAGAAAGTTGTTCTTGTTGATAATCAAATCCTCAAGTTGGTTTGTGGTTTTTGGACAAAGTACGAAATCGAAGGGGTTCTCAGAAATTTTAATTTTTCAGTCTAATCTGGCGAAGGCGCGGTCCCGTTGTCTACACACACCACCTGGGCACACTACACTACAAGCGCTTCCAGCTTAACGAAGAAACTTCTCGATCTTTCTCGACCAATTCACTTCATTATTACATCAGGGAATTTGCCATACACGGCTATTTACAGATAATAGACAGACAGCCTTATTCTTGCGTAATATTTTGGATTAAATTAGGTATATTTCATATCTTATATATAAACATAAACACAAACATAGATAGGTAAATATCCATAACAATACTAGTCGGTATACATTTAAAGTTAGCATTTATATATTCTTTCCTCTCTCTTCCTTTTGATATTGACATAGCTCCATAGGTAATCATTCACGATTATATCTGCACCCAGGTACGAGTATGGATATAAATGATTTCCCTCTCTCCCCTCTCAACAAACCAAGCTACAAACCCCTCCCTCCCCCAAACACTTCCAATCATTCTCCCACTTTCTACTCACTTCGTTCACCCCTCTTCATCACGTGATACGATTTGATAATTGATAAAGCGGACGATAAGGTGAAAACTAAAGTCAGAGCCACCAAGCAAACCCTGGCAGGAGTAGGACGGTCGGAGCCACTTTGAGCCACTTTGTTGGTAAAGTGACGTCTGTTTGGTGGGGGGTGGGAAGATGTTGTGTTGGCAAATTTTGATCAAAGAGCCCAAAGAGAATCAGAAACCACATCATAACGAGTTTCGCCCTATTCTTTGTCACAAAAACAATAAATGTTAGGTATCAAGCTTCATTGGGACCATTATAGGCATTGGCATTAATA